CATCAACTCCAGGCATGCTCCCAGCCCAGCAGACAGAAGCCCAGCTGACTGAAAGTGGGTCGGGGATGAGCTCAGAGCTGCCGCAGGGAGGCTTGGGCAGACCCCGGCCTAGCAGACGGAAGCCTAGCTGACAGAAAGCGGGACTGCTGGGCTGGGGGTGTGCCTCTGGCAGCCCTCACAGTGTGGCTTGGAGCATGCCCCCAGCCCAGTGGACAGAAGCCCTGCAGACACAATGCAGGGGGTCCTCTGCACATGAGCGGCAGAGGAAACACCTTTTCTGAGGGATCATTGGCTAAGCTGCCTCTCACAGTGTTCTTGGTAACTTGAGTTATAAGAATCCAAGAAGGTGATCTAGGATTTTTCCACCTCACTCCTGGAGAAAAAACTAAGGTCTGTTGCTGGAGGGCCTAGCATATCCTGCCCTAGCCAGTTTGGCTTTGTGGATAGAGCCTTGGCCTGCCAACTACAGGATCTGGGTTCAATTCTGATCAAGGGCATGTACCTAGAGGTTGGCCCAGGTCAGGGAGGAGGCAACCAATCGAAGTGTCCCTCATGCAGGAGGCAACTAAAGTGTCCCTCTCACATTGATGTTTCTCTCTGTCTTTCCCTCTTTTAATATCAGACATATGTTGTAGCAATATCTTTACCGGTACAGCTCCTACGACAATGAAAATTAAGGAAAAATAAACAAATGGGACTACATCAAAATGAAAAGCTTCTGCACAGCAAAAGAAACCATCAACAAAACAACAAGAGAGCCCACTGCATGGGAGAACATATTTGCCAATGTTATGTCCAATAAGGGTTTAATCCATAGGAACTCATACATCCTAACTAAAGAAAGATAAACAATCCAATCAAAAAATGGGCAAACGACCTAGGTAAATAGACTTTTTGAAAGAGGATATACAGAAGATCAAGAGACACATGAAACCTGCTCAAAGTCACTAATGATCAGAGAGATGCAAATCAAAACAATTACCGTATTTTTCGGACCATAAGACGCACTTTTTTCCCCCCAGAAGTGGGGGGGAAAAGTCCCTGCGTCTTATGGTCCAAATATAGCCTACACATATACTTTAAAAAAAAAGTTTTTTTACTTGCCCGGCTCTGTGTGGTCTCTGTGTGCTTGCCCGGCTCTAAAATGGTTCTAAATGCTGCTGTTTACTTTACAGGGTTGATTACATGTGTTTATGACTGTGATGTTGGGTTTTAATGCACATAAAATATTTCAGGACACTATTTGTTTCAGAATCTTTTTTTCTTCATTTCCCTTCTCTAAAAACTGGTGCGTCTTATGGTCCGGAGCGTCTTATGGTCCGAAAAATACAGTAGGTACCATCTCACACCTGTCAGAATGGCTACCATCAACAAATCAACAAACAACCAGTCATTATGATGTGCGCTGACCACCTGGGGGTGTAAGCAGAATATGGCAGACCTCAGCCATGGTGGGATGATGGAGCAGGTGAGCAGGGGCACCAGACCAAGGCGGGGCACTGGTGGCTGTCACCTGGCTAGCCTCTGGTGATTACTGAAAATTCTCATGGTCCTGCCTGGTGTTAGCACCTTCTGCCAGTGCTGGAGCTGCCACTCGCCAACCCCAGCCATGCTCTCACCCTCAACCAGTGCCAGAGCCACCACTCGCAGCACAGTCAGCAGGTGTGAGGGGCGGCTACTGGCCCCAATCGCCCCTGAGGGCTTCTCCACCTCCCCCTGCTCCTGAGGGGACAATGAGGCAGCAGTTGCTGCTTGCACCCACTGACAGCACTGGCCCCAATCGCTCCATGCCCTCAGCGGATGCAAGCGGGACCTGAGCTGTCAGCACATGGGAGGGGGGCTGCTAGCAGAAAGGGGGCCGAGGGCTGTGGCAGGAGGGGCCAGCGGGGGTGCGGAGGATGGGCTTAGACCCACCCCTGTGCCCACTGCAGCCTCTCAGCCCACTGTTCCTTTCAAGATGCACAAATTCGTGCAGTGGGCCCTAGTTTCATATAAAGGACTTGAGTATTGGCCAATTTTGGTCTGGGTGGGGTTAGGGGTTCTTGGAGACAATCCCCCTCAGATATTAAGGGCTTATTATGCCATGTCTACAATGTACCAGACAAATTTTGTTGGGCCCAAGGATAACAAAAAAAAAAACAGTTCCTATCTCATATTCAAGAAATTTACAGACCAGTGCAAGAAAACAAACTAGACAATATAATGTTATTTAATAGATACTACAATAAAGATATATACATGTACTAAGGGTGTATATTTAAAGAACCTGTAACATAATACCTTCCATAAAACTGGTGATAATTAAGTTAACAGGAAAAAAGAAATCCATTGGGAAAAGAAAATGTGGAATGAAAAAGAAAATAGAAGAGCTCTTAGAAATTGAAATCTGACAGCTGCAATAAAAACTTTAATGAAACTTCAATATAAGTAGAGGAAAAAGATAACAGACAATAAAAGACTGATAAGAAAAAAAAAGACTGATAAGATAATCAATCCAGGAGATGAAACACCCAATTATAAGGAGTTTAAAAAAAAAAAAAAAAGTGAAAAACTTAGACAAATAATACTAAAAGTGTTCCTGGAACCACAGTACAAGAATTTGGGGGGGGGGGGGGGGGGGGGGGGGGAAATAGCACAATGATGAGAAGAACCACACCAAGGTCCATCACTGTAAAATTTCATAATATAAGGGATGAACAAAAGATCTTAAGAGCCTTCAAATGACCAGGAATCAAAATGGCATCAAATTCTAAACAGGTGCCCTAACTGCTTTGGCTCAGTGGATAGAACATTGGCCTGCAGACTGAAAGGTCCCGGGTTCAGTTCCAGTCAAGGGTTGTGGGCTCAATCCCTCGTGGGGGCAAGCAGGAGGCAGCCAATTGATGATTCTCATCACTGACGTTTCTATCTTTCTTTCCTTTCCTCTTTGAATAAAAATATATTTTAAAAAATAATTCTCAACAGAAAACTGGAACTTGCAATGCATTTTCAGCACAGAATTAACCAGACAATTTATAAAGTACAAGGGCAAAATAAAGCTATTTTTCAATATGTAAGAAGAAAATTAGGCATTCAGAGGGGCAAGGGACTATTATTTTCATCAGAACTTACTTTACTTAAGTAAATGCTAAAATTCTATGTCCCATATTTCCTTTCTGTTAATTTTACTGAAAGATGTACTTGATCAAAAAGAGACAGAGACAGCCCAGCTGATGAGGCTCAGTGATGGAGTGCCGACCCATGAACCAAGAAGTCACTGGTTCAATTCCCCATTAGGGCAAATGCCCAAATTGTAGGCTCAATCCCAGGTAGGGAGTGCTTATAAGGCATTCCATTGATGTTTCTCTCTCTACCCTCCTCCCTTTCTCTATAAAATCAATAAAAACTTCTTTTAAAAAAAAGACAGACTGCCCTAGCCGGTTTTGCTCAGTGAATAGTCAACCTACATACAGTCCAAAGGGTCCCAGATTCGATTCTCGTCAAGGGCACATGCCCGTTGTAGGCTCGATCCCCAGTATGGGGTGTGCAGGAGGAGGCTGATCAGTGATTCTCTCTTATCATTGATGTTTCTCTCTCTCCCTCTCTCTGCCTATGTGAAATCAATAAAAACATATTTAAAAAATATATACCCTAAGGTGAGGCTAAAAAAAAAGATCAGGTTGTCAGAGGTTCGAAAAAAAAGAATTAACAGAAAGAGCATACAGAATTTTTAGTGCAATGAAAATACTCTATGTATGTAAGGTGGATATATGTCATTATATACATTTGTTTGAACTCATAGGCTACACAACACAAAGAGTAAACCCTAATATAATCTATGGACTTTGGGTGATTATGATGTGTAAATGCAGGTTCATCAGTTATAACAAATGTACCGCTCTGATGGGGGATCTTGATAATGGAGGAGGCTATGCATGTATTGGGGCATATGGTCTATAGAAAAACTTTAAACCTTCTTCTCAATTTTGCAGATTTTGTTGTGAACTTAAAACTGCTCTAAAAAAAATAGCCCTTGATTGAAAAAAAAGTAATAAATAGCTTTGGCTGGTGTGGCTCACTTGGTTGGAGCATTGTCCTGTACACCAAAAGGTAGCCGGTTCAGCCGGGACCGGTTTGGCTCAGTGGATAGAGCGTCGGCTTGGGGACTGAGGGGTCCCGGGTTCGATTCCGGTCAAGGGCATGTACCTTGGTTGCGGGCACATCCCCAGTGGGGGGTGTGCAGGAGGCAGCTGATCGATGACTCTCTCTCATCGATGTTTCTAACTTGCTATCTCTCTTCCTTCCTCTCTGTAAAAAATCAATAAAATATATTTAAAAAATAAAAAAAAACAAAAGGTAGCCGGTTCAATTCCTATTCCGGGCATACACTTTGGTTTTGGGTTCAATCCTTACCAGAGGCAACCCATCCATTTTTTCTCTCTCACACTGATATGTCTCTCTCCATCTCTCTCCTTTCCTCTCAAATCAATTAAATACTTTCCATTAAAAATCATAAATAATGCAAGTTCAATGCTATTTTAACCTAAGGGCATAATAACAATCTTTAGCTTGTTTTTCAGTCAGGCAATTTATGGGTTAGGATATCCATAGACAGTAAATTCTTAAGTATTAAGTGTACTTTAACTCCCTTCTGTAACTCGTCTGGATAAGTTTTCTCAGTTATGACATTTCTTGGGGGGTCATTTTTTCCCTTCCTCAATTAATAGTATGTCTACATATAACCAAGGAACAGTACTATGCATGATTAACAAAATTTTAAGTCTAAATGAATGAAAGATCCCCATTCTGACAAATCATCTAATCTGTCTACAATTCTGAATCCTCAACACAACTGATATTATTACAGAGAAATGAAACACCACTTTACAGAATGTAAAAGCAGTTGTGGTATGTTTTTGAGTAGTTTACATTTATCAATGTCTACGAAAATCAGCAGTCACACAAACAGTATGTTCAATCCAAAATCTTTGATCGCCAGAAACAGAAAAACTGTTACCTACCTTTCAGAGACCTCTTGTTTAAACTGAGTAACTTCCCCAAGTGATGAATCAATATCCATGAAACCAAGAAAGTCTTGATTTATATTAAGGAAAGGCTTCTCCAAACCCTTGCCTGATGTCTCATGACCCCTAGATAAAGGATCTGAATCAGTAAGCTGTATCTCTGACCCTTCACCTTCTGGGAGACGGGCCCGTTGACCAGGTGAACTGGGAACACTATTACCTTCTTGGTCAGAGCTGTTTTTTTGCTTGCCATCTCTCTGGGGCTTACTATTCAGCCCATCATCCCTGAAGCCTTTAGCAAATGGATTGTAATCTATTTTCAGCTGAGTAATCTGTATGTTCTGATAAGCTGTTACTGCAAAGAATTCAGTCTGTGGGAAGGTAAATGTGTGGACACCAGGGCCATTTAACTGTATCACTTCAGTAGCCTTTTCTGCAGGTACCAAATGAAGCCTTGGCAGGTATCGATGCATAGAGTGCAAGATAATATGCCCTTCTTGGTCCAGTGTATTGTTGGTAAGTTTCAGTTTATAGAAAGATACTGGTTGGTGCATCCAATAATGGCCTGTGGATGGAGATTCTGGATGAATAAAAACCCTCCCTAAAACATGAGGCTCTGCCTTCCCACTGGGTTCCCACCAGCGACCGTTCCACTTATAACGATGGTTATCCACAGGAGATATATCCATGACAAGGATATACTTCTTATTTGAGTCTAAACCTGTGATCCAATAACGACAGTAAGGAAACATGCGTCTTCCCTGCTTGGTCAGAATCATCTCTGTACTTCGATGATAGAATTCATTCCACATACTATTGTTATCCAAGGTGACAGTGATTCCTCCCACAGTACAATCAGCTGGCAGGCAAATCTTCCCTGTAGATTTTCCTGGGGATGACACACTGGTAGCCAAAGCACAAGCATCCCTATTAGTAACCAAAATTCCTTGATCTGTTTTGCCATTTCCTGCTTGTTTTAGGATGACAAAGAAGGTAGGTGCTGCTCCTGCCACTGTCCCACCATCTTGACTAGCCAATATAATCTGCTGTTTCTCCTCCATGATTCCAGTGGGAAACCTGTATAACTGTAGTCACCACATAGTCACAATGGCCTTCTCAGCCTAAAAAATAAGCAGAAAAACAAAACCTTTTAATTAAGTTAATATTTTGTTAATATAAAGGACAAGAATAATTATCCCCAAAAGATACTCCTAAATCCTACTACAATAAATATTGCTTCTCTCTATCCCTTTCCCTTCCTCTATCTCTAAAAATAAAAATAAAAATAAAAAAATAAAATAAATTTAAGAAATAAATAAAATGGCCAAAAACGGTTTGGCTCAGTGGATAGAGCATCGGCCTGCGGACTGAAAGGTCCCGGGTTCGATTCCAGTCAAGGGTATGTACCTTGGTTGCAGGCACATCCCCATTGGGGAGTGTGCGAGAGGCAGCTGATGGATGTTTCTCTCTCATCGATGTTTCTGACTTTCTATTCCTCTCCCTTCCTCTCCGTAAAATATCAATAAAATATATTTTTTTAAAAAGAATTAAGTAAAATAATGCCTTAACTTGATACACACATTTAAAGAAACCCTGACAGCCCTGGCAGCCCTAGCCAGTGTGGCTCAGCTGGTTTGAGTGTCATCCCACCCTGGTTTCATGTTTGATCCCTGGATCACAGGATCCCAGTCCAGGTGCAAGGGGAGACAACTGATCGATACTTCTCATATCGATGTATCTCTCTCCTTCTCCCTTCCTCTCCCTCTAAAATCAACAAAAACATTTTTTTTAAAGCAAAGAAAGAAACCATAAATTCCAGAAGGAACAAACATTTAAATCACCACCCAGTCCTCAGCATAAATTTTTAAAATTTTTTTTTAATTGTGGTTTTATTTTCTTTAGATAACACCAGAAGTGGAATTTCTGGCTCATGGGGTAGATCTAATTGTAGTTTTGTGAGGATTCTCCACACTGTTTTCCATAGTGGCTACACCAATTTACATTCCCACCAACAGTGCACAAGTAATCCCTTTTCTCCACATCTTCAACCCTTTTTATTTGTTGACTTTTTTGATAAAGCCATCCTGACAGGTGTGAGCTTGTATCTCACTGTGGTTTTGTTTTGCATCTCTCTGATGACTAGTGATGTTGAGCATCTTTTCATATGTCTGCACCCATCTGTATGTCTCCTTTGGGGAAATGTCTGTTAGTGTCCTCTAACCATTTTTGGATTGGATTGTTCATTTTTTGTCATTGAGTTGTATGAATTTCATATATATTTTGGTTATCTGTTATCAGCTCCTTATTGGATATATCATTTGTAAATATATTCTCCAAATTTTTTTAAATTCTTAAATCCCCAGAAAATAAGACACAAAATCTCTGATAAATTCAACATTATACATGTTTTACATCTGGCAAATATCATAAAAGTAAAATTGAAAAAACAAATGACTAACTGGGAAAGGGTATTTGCAAATTACATCCTAATAACTCATTTAACTAATATAAAAAGGGTTCCTACAAGAAAAATCTAATAGAAAAATGGGCAAAGGAGAGAAAGAGTCAATGGCTATAAAAATGTATATAGTCTTAGCATAGGAGAAATGGTAATGGAAATCATATGGAGACACTGTTTTTGACCTTATTAAACTGGCAAAACTCAAAGTTTGGTAGAGGAATTGGAAAGGGTGTCAGAAAGGGCAACATAAAAATATCAAAAGTACAAATGCATATACATCCCATAGAACAACAGTTCTAGGACTTTATCCTAAATATACACTCATACACATACATGCCTGTAATAAAAAAGTATAGATTATTCCCTGCATTTCTACTTTTTTTTAAACATTTCTTTTTATATATATATATATTTTTTTTTTTTTAATTGAGTTTTTTACAGAGAAGAAGGGAAAGATAGAGAGCAAGAAACATCGACGAGAGGGAGTCATCGATCAGCTGCCTCTTGCAACCAAGGTACATGCCCTTGACTGGAATCAAACCCGGGACCCTTCAGTCCGCAGGCTGACACTCTATCCACTGAGCCAAACCGGTTTCGGCTCTACTTTTAACATAAAAAAACTGGAGAAAAAGTCCATCAATGGTCCCGGGGTTCAATTCCGGTCAAGGGCATGTACCGGGGTTGCAGGCTTGATCCCCAGTAGAGGGCATGCAGGAGGAAACCAATTAATTATTCTCTCTCATCATAGATGTCTCTCTTTCTCCTCCCCTCTCCTTTCTCTCTGAAATCAATAAAAATAGATATATTTTTTAAAAACACATAGAATGTGTTTGTATTTGCTTGATATAGACTGTAAAGACAGAAAAGGAACTGGTAGTATTGGCTATATCCAGGAAAAACTTGAACGGCTGGGAAAATACATACTGACATGTTCTAAATTTTGTATCTTTTGAACATACAACCTATTCCAAAAAAAGACTTAAAAACATCTATACAAAATGTCCAGAATAGGCAAATCTAGAGATAGAAAGTAAATTTGTGATTGCGAGGAAACACGGAGAGGGATAATTCAGACAATTGCTAATAAGTATGGCATACCTTTGGGGTGAGGAATGAAAACATTCAGGAGCTAGAAACTACTTAAGTGTATCTGTTGAAATGCAAAAATATATGCTATGTGAATTAAATTTCAATAAAAAGTTGAAAAGAAACTTCAGATTGTTAAATTTAACTGAACTAGTGTGCTAAATTACTAAAATATTCTACAAGATCATCACCTCCAATTAGCCTTTGCACAAAAAAGGAAGATGCTACATCACTACTCCTCTATAACTGGGTCAGTAATTTTTGATTAATCAAATTCAGCCACTATGGGTTCTCCTCATTTATGTTTTGTGTTGTGTTTTTTTTATTTTAAAAATATATTTTATTGATTTTTTACAGAGAGGAAAGGAGTGAGATAGAAGGCTACAAACATCGATGAGAGAGAAACATTGACCAGCTGCCTCTTGCACACCCCCTAATGGGAATGTGCCCACAACCAATGTATTGTACATGCCCTTGACCAGAATCGAACCCAGGACCTTTCAGTCTGCAGACCGACGCTCTACCGCTGAGCCAAACCGGTTTCGGCGTATGGGTTATTTTTAAAGAATCCTCTAGTAAAGTTATTCCATGAGTTTATCAAAATACATAAAACCAAAGACCTACTTTATGACCAAAACAATCTCTCTCTTGAGATTTACCTCCATACTGGTTTAGGAACAAAGAATCAAATTCTTATTCCAATCAATCTTTAAACACAGATTTCATTTCACTATAAGAATATGGTTATTCTTTTGGAATACTACACTGAATTTTCTAATAAAAGGATTATTAATTGGGCATATTTGGCTGTTTCAGACACATAATACCACTCTAAAGGCTAAGACAACTTTTTAAAAATATTTTATTTCAGATAGGGAGAGACAGAAACATCAATGATGAGAGGGAAGAATTGATTGGCTGGCTCCTGCATGACCCTTACTGGGAACCCAGCCAGTAACCAGGCATGTGCCCTTGACCAGAATCGAACCTGGGACCCTTAAGTCCTCAAGCCGACACTCTAGCCACTGAGTCAAACTACTAACTAGGGCAGGATAAGACAACGTTAACTAATCGCAAAAACCAATTGTACTTTAGGAAAAGTTAGGCCACTCATGAAGAAATACTCCTTCCAGCAAGTTTCTAAATACTCTCATATCTGGCTCTCTGGAAGCTTTTAAGGAAGACCATCGTTTCAGTACAAGTAAAACTTAAAACAATAAAGTAATTTCAATATATATATGTGTATATGTGTGTATATATATATGTTTGTGTGTGTGTGTATATATATATACATATACATATATATATATATATACATATATATATATATATATATATATATATATATATATATATATATATATATATCACTTAAAACAAGAAAGTAATCTCCGCCAAAACCAGTTTGGCTCAGTGGATAGAGCATTGGCCTGCGGAATGAAAGGTCCCAGGTTCAATTCCAGTCAAGGGCATGTACCTTTGGTTGCAGGCACATCCCCAGTGGGGGGTGTGCAAGAGGCAGCTGATCGATGTGTCTCATCAAAGTTTCTAACTCTCTATCCCTCTCTCTTCCTCTCTGTAAAAAATCAATAAAATATATTTTAAAAAGAAAGTAATCGCAGGCCCTAGCTGGTTTGGCTCAGTGGACAGAACAACAGCCTGTAGGCTGAAAGGTCCCGGATTGAAGGGTCCTGGGTTTGATTCTGGTCAAGGGTACATGCCCCGGTTTGGCTCAATCCTGAGCAGGTGACGAGCAGGAGGCAGCTGGTCAACGATTCTCTATCATTTATGTTTCTATCTCTCACCCCCTCTTCCCTCTCTGAAATCAATAAAAATATATATATTTTTAAAAATAATAATAATCTTGGTTCAGCATTTCAAAAAGCAAACTTTTTTCTGCATGAAGTAATTATCTGAGGAATGTTTAATTGCAGATGATTATTGTAGATGAAACATCTCATCATTGATGTTTCTATCTCTCCCTATCTGAAAATGTCATAGGAGAGACAAACAGGAGCTTTCACAAAAAATGTTTTGAGATAAGTAATGTGGCAAATTCCATAAACAAACTTAAAATTTCAGAGTCCTTATTCTAAATGTCTTTTCAACAATGACCCCTATGGTAGGTATTTTAACTACTAAAGTGGTAACCCTCATACAACTTACAAAACACACCACCTAGTTTACTAGGTAGTTACCTAACTTAATAATTCATAGACTGAACACACACAAAAATCAAAATTCCAAACCAATACCATTACTTTTAAAACAAAAAATATTCAAATACTTATTTGAATGTTTCCAAAGTTGCTAAAAAAAATAACCATAACTTTTCAAGCAACAAATGCATTACTGTACTGTAGGCACCAAGATGTTAGTTGGTTCCTTAATATGATCTTTCACAAGAGTCTGGTTAAGGTAAATTACATTTCTGGAACTCAAGTTTTAAGAGAATAAAGTATACTCAAGTATTTAGCGATATATCATAGGCCCAGAAATTTGAGAAATCTTAAAAATATTTTAAGTATAAAAATAATCAGAAAATATAGCAGACAGTAAAATATTCAACTACCAGTTCTTAATTGTCAATTTTTAAAATTAAATAAATGGTACTTGTCTATTAGTAAGCACTTACTCATGACTAATCAATATTTGGGTATTTTATCATCATCACCATCCTAATAAGGTAAATTTCAAAATACTATCTTTAGTGCTTTAGGTTTCAAGACACAGAATCCCTTCTGCCTGAAATAGTACGCTCGATCTTCTCTCCCAGATACTATTTGTTAATGCTGAGTTCAGAAATATTATTCCTAGGAATGGTCCCTTAACTACAACTTGGAGTTGGCAAGCTCTCAGGTCTCTAGCAATTGCATAAGAATTTGAATAACTTTTATGGCAGAAAAAAATGTCAGTATCCAAAAAGCCACCCTTCCTTGTAACAAAGTATGAAAAGGTACCCAGGGCACTGAATTTCCTCAATTTCTAAGTATGTGTTTTCTGTTAAGTGAACCCAACCCACTCAATCGTAGGTTAGGAAAATGAAATAACACTTAGGAGGCAAGAAACACTAACCCTGATCCCATACCTATGGGAACAGAAAGGCCTCAGGCCAGTCCTGAGGAGGTGCAGTCGCCCACGACTAATTGCCCACAATCACAGCTTTTCAACTGCAGAGGCCCTATCCACTGAGCCAAGAACAACGCGAAAATATGCTGCAAGGGAAGCTCTTCTGGGGAAAAGCAATCCCGACAGATCACGTGCCATCCTTGCCGCGTCCGCCGGAACCACGATCACTCCGACAAACCCAGTCACATTCTGTAACCCTGAACCCAGTATCCGTCTCTCCAAGCCAGCCCCCTTCCAGCAGCCGTCACGTAGCCTCCAGGCACTTTCCCTGCAATCTAGCCACAACGTCGTTCCCAAAATGTGAAGGCAGAGCAGGAAACGTTTGCTAGGAACCCCGCCCCAGAAGCCTGTGGAGCTTTACAACACGCACGGGCGGCGCGCGCAGATTCTCCTGATCCTCGTGTCTGCTCCGGCGACGTGAACCCTGGGGGAGTGGTTTTCCCCCAGAACGAGGTTACTTGGGTTACTCAGTGTTCTGCCACAGTAATCCCTCCTTTTAGACCTCTTTCAGCGTTCCCTGCTTCCACTTTTGCCAAAAGGAGGTATCCCCGGGGTTCCAAATGCAAAGCAAAAATCTTCACAGCAAGATACTACCACTTTATACTCAACCCGATTTGAAAAATCCCTAACTTCCTAATCTTCGCACACAGATTTCCTCAACTTTGGTCACTGGCGCTTCAGAGGGGTTTATTTCCCAGACACACCTAGCACTAGGAGCAGATACCTATGTGACAATTTAACAGAAGCGGGAAGCCTCATAAAAGGAGAACTAGCCAAGGCTGCTCCACAGAGAGGGGGGGAAAAATAAACACCTGCTCTCCCCACCTGTTTCCCCCGCCCTCATTTCTGCACTTTCGAGCCACCGGTCCTTTGTTTACCAAGTTCCCATTCCTATACAGCTCATTTCCTCGCCCTGCTTTTTTATTAAACTCGCGGTCCTACCTCAAACAATTTACTCGAAAATTACATGGTAGAAGAGATTTGTACGGGTGTCAAAATGCCGCACACAGCTCCTTAATATAAACGACGTCAGCACCGTTTACCTCCGAGTTTTGGAACCCTGAGACCTGGACTCTGAAGTGCAAAGCGCATAAGCAGGGCTCTGGACTTAAAGCCAGGCGCCCGAATGGAAGTCGTCACGCGGATCCTTCCATGCGGTGCGACACCCCACGCACGCGAGCGCAGGACCGCGCGCCAAGGGCGCTTCTCACCCCGCCCGCCTCGTGGCCGCTCCTTTGGCGTCGATGCTCCTAGTCAGTTTGCTGCGCGACGCGGAAGTAAGGCCGGGGACGCGCGCGAGGTGACATGCGCAGCCTCGCTGGGGGCGGGTGGGGGAGTGAGGGGGTAGACACCAAAGGCGCGCGCCAAAGACGGCCCAGCGCAAGGCCGGGCCCGGCCCCAGCGTGCGAAGATCGCTCAGCGGAAGATCTCTCACGCCGCTCAAATATACAAGAGCTTCAAACTCTCAAAAAACTCCAATCGGGCCAGTACTACAGCGACACCCACCCTGCCCAGGCCCGAGAGTTACCGTGCGGGGCGTGGCGGGCCTCACCCGGAGTCCTTCACATCCCGCCGGGGGCGGGTTATTTTGTTCCGTTCGCACACCGTGTGTCCGCTCCAGCTGAAGAGCCTGCGCGCGCACGAGACGTCCACGTCACCGCGCAGGCGCTCCTACCCGCTCGGAGACCGCCGCGCAAGCGCAAAAAGGGGCGCAAGCAGTACCTCCCTCGCCCCTCCCCCAACACCAGGAGGCCAAATGGCCCCGTAGCAGCGACAAGACCCTTGGGACCCGCCCCTGGAGCTGAAGCCGCTGCCTTTCCGGGTTCCAGCAACTGAGATAAGCCTACTGAAGCTTCCAGAATCAAGACAGGCGAGGCAGGAGAGGGGCACCCCAATTCCCTGAGCCTCGCACACGAAGCCTTCGTGAAAACCGTGAAAACTTTGCTTGCGGGCTTTCTCAAATTGTGCCTTCTACCAGTTCCCTAGGGCTCCTCGCCGGCTCCGCCTCTACCGCGCCCAGCTCCACCCACATGGGTATCCAGAGTCCCCAGGGCTTCGTTAGCCCGTCAAATAAGTCGGAGCTCTTCCTCCCCAATATTCTGTGGGCTTGGATGGCGCCAAAACAGGGAAACCTTGAAGAAAAGACCTTGAGAACGAGTAGTCGAGTTTGCAACATCAACGACGGAAGAACTCTAGGAAAGTAGGGAGGAGAACGAAACCCCCAATGCTGAATGGGAAGGAAAGAAGAGTGGCCACCAACTTGCTTGGTTAAAGTAGCTCCTCACTTGTTAAAACAACAAAACTTGGAAACAAGAATTTTACACGATAGAGTATTATCTGAACTTTAATGCCTTGGTCCTGTGTTTTCAATTCTTGTTTGCTCAAGCTATTTAAGCCATGAAGTGCAAAGAAAAAATTACCGAATATCTGTGTCAGAAAGTTGCTGAACTAAGTTAAAGGACAGTGCTTCTACCAAAAAATATCTTTTTCTTCCTTATTCCTAACCAGCTGCTCTTTCTTCTGTGCTGCTAACACTACAGTAAAAAAGGAAAGAGAAAAGAAGCAAAATAGTAGGAAGAGGAGAGCAGATACTGTAGTCCATGTTTCCAAATTTTTCTTTTACTCTTAGATGAATTAGCAAGTACTGAGAACCTACATGCTAGACGACTAAATACAACGTTCTATGAAGGAGAATGAGGATTTGAAAGAAAGGAGCCAAGCAGAGAAGGCTTATCTAAAAAGACTGATCTGAGCTAGACTCCAGGCATATTAGTAAGGGTCTTCTTTTGGAAGAAATTGTGATGGAATTTGTATATTAGAAAATGTATAAGCTAAAGTTTACAGACTTCTGAAATTGCCCTGAAAAATTCCATTCAAGCACTGTCAAGAGAACTGCAAGTAAAACAAATGATTAATGCCCAAAATCTTAGGCAAAACTGAGTTTTTTGACATCCTTTTTTTCCCTGACCCCAAAAATCCCTTTCCTGTAAGCTGCAATGTCAGAATTTCCACCTCAGCTCATCCAAGAATGCCTTACTTTCAAGAGACTAAGGTTTCCTCATACAAAATTTCCATTTTCTGAGGGAGAAATAAAGTTTGTGTTGACAGCATTAAAACATCTGATCATAAGATGTAAATGACTGATAACTGCTTATACCACTGCCTAGTGGTAGTTGGATTTCAAAAAAAGTTAACATAAATAGTATCTCTAATTGGGAAATCTGGGAGGACACCTTAGTGGGGAGGGAGAGTGGAGATTTTCTTTTGCTACTCTTTCCCTATACCAGAAAAACAGAATGAAATACCAGATATTAAAAACAAACAAAACAAAAACAAAAACAAAAAACAATTTTTCAAGATTCACCACTGGAGCCGAAACAGGTTTGGCTCAGTGGTAGAGCGTCGGTCTGCGGACTGAAAGGTCCCAGATTCGATTCCAGTCAAGGGCATGTACCTTGGTTACGGGCACATCCCCGGTAGGGGGTGTGCAGGAGGCGGCTGGTCAGCGTTTCTGGCTCTCTGTCTCTCTCCCTTCCTCTCTGTAAAAAATCAATAAAATATACATATATTTTTTAAAAATTCACCACTGGATCTCCTTGTGAGAGAGGTAAACTTTGTTTCAAAGTGGGGCCTGCCTAAGCTATATAGGTCTAGAGATGTATTATCAAGAATCTGAGAAGTTTAGCTGAGTGACTTGGTTGGAGTGTCGACCTGTACACCAAAAACGGTTGTGGGTTCCATCCCAGTTGGGCACATATGAGACGCAACCCATCAATGTTTCTCTCTCACATTGATGTTCACACAAGACAAGCTATATTCTCTGTCTCCCCCTGGCCCCCCAAACACACACACACAGTTCCTTTTCGCTCTAAAAAAATAAGTAAATAAAAATAAGCACATATCCTTGAGTGGGGATTAAAAAGAAAATAACCTGACAGCCTATTAATTTTTTATATAGATAATCTAAAAATAATACTGCAACATCATTTCAATGGCCCAGTTTTGGTTTAACATCAATCTAGTACCAAGTAACCACTTCTCTTTTGTTTGCTTTTTCAAGTAACCTCTTAAACAGTTACATTTAACTTTTTTTTTTAATCCTCACCTGGGAATATTTTCCATTGATTTTGAGAGAGAAAGAGAGAAACATTGACGTGAGAGAAGGACATCCATTGGTTATCTCTTGTAGGAAGGAGCCTGCAACCAAGGTAACGTGCCCTTGACCAGAATCAAATCAAATCCCAGACCCTTTAGTCCGCAGGCTGACGCTCTATCTACTGAGCCAAACCGCCTAGGGCAGTGGTTGGCAAACTCATTAGTCAACAAAGCCAAATATCAACCAACAGTACAATGATTGAAATTTCTTTTGAGAGCCAAATTTTTTAAACTTAAACTTCTTCTAACACCACTTCTTCAAAATAGACTTGCCTAGTCCATGGTACTTTGTGGAAGAGCCACACTCAAGGGGCCAAAGAGCTACATGTGGCTCATGAGCCAGTTTGCCAACCATGAGGCTAGGGCAAACAGTTACATTTAACTTTTATTGCAGTGTTTCTCAAATTGGGGTCCTTGGTTGTTGTTTTTTGTTTGTTTTTTTGGCTCTGTAGTAACTTCTCCCTTTAAAGATGGCAGGTTGATTTGCATACACAGGCCCCCAGTGGCTGGGGGTGGGGCAGGATGCTTGCTTCATTGCCATGGCAACGACATAGGCATCCCACACCAGCTACTCCGGGCCTCTGGGCAGTGTGGGAAGGCGGAAAGGCAGCTCCAGGCTGGAGCAGAAAGGCACCGCCAGCAGCTAGGAGAAGGAAGGCCCATTCTTGAACGAATCTTCATGCATCAGCCTCTACTCATTACATAACCCAAGTTTTAAAAATGCCAAGCTAACTGCTAGAATTGATGCTCCTGAATTTTACCTTGCTGTTAGAATTCTCTCAAGTTATCATAGCTTACCTTGTTCATCCAGCCTAACTCAAAAATCCTTCCCTTTGTTTTCCTGGTTGAACTTCCAAAGAGATTTAAGTAAATATTAGGGGGATGAGAGGTGGGGGGGGGGGGGAAGTGTGAAGACAGAGAACGCCTGAAATATAAACAATCTGGCTAGAAAGTATACAATTTTGATCCAAGTTTGCTCTATAAGCACATAAGCGCCCATTCACATGCACATTTTTCCTATTCAACAAATATTTGAGTGCCTTGTATATGCTGAGGATAGAGGAAAGACTCCCACCTCATGCACTATTCAGATGTCTATATTAGAGCCCAAAGAGTTGATACAACTTAACAAAACCCACCAACAAGACAAACTATATTTCTTATCCAATCTAATCAGATCCCACCTTCTCAGTTCAGATTTCTACTGAAACATACCTCCCTCAAATAACTAGAAAAGACATAATATCACTTTTCAAATGAAAACATTGCCACATCTAAAAAGCCCTGGGTTATGGTTCTGTTTACAATATCTTAATTCAACACAATAAGATCACTCTTAAGATAAGAGCTACATATAGACTAGGATACAAAAAAGACTTGGTATTTTTATACAAAGTCCTTCACTGACCATAAAAACTTGTGTGCTAGCCAGGGGGCATAAAAGAGGGGTCATGCCTGGCTGGTGTGCTCAATGATTAGGGTGTTGACCACACCACCAAAGGGTCACAGGTTCCCAGTCAAGAACATGTACCTAGGTTGCAGTTAGCTCCCCACTCCCTAGTGGGGGCACATGTGGAAGACAACCAGTCAACATGTCTCTCTCACATTGATGTTTCTCTCTCTCTCTCTTTCTCTCTCTCTCTCTCCCCCCCCCCTCCCTCCTTCCCTCTTTCTCTCTTCCCTCTCCCCTCCCTCTTTCCCTCTCTCTCTTCAACTCTCTCTAAAAAACAATGGGGGAAAGCATATCCTCAGGTAAGGTTTTAAAAAAAATCACACTCCATCATTGCCTACCATTTAGTGCTGCACCAACTCATGTCAAGAGGCAAAGTATGATTCACTCCAATATCTAAAACCTTGAACTAAGGAATTTAAAGCAACAAGAATCCTAACCTCAAAGAGCTAATAATCTACCCAATGAAGAGCTGTAGGAGTATCTAAATCAGATAGTAATGCTATTAAAAGCATATTTTACAAAATGTGTTAAGAGGAGGATTAAAAAGAGGATAGATGTGATGGAATGTTATCAATAGTCATTAAGAAACACCATTTCTTCTTGCTGCCCCATCACTCAAGTCTGCATACCGGTAATCATGATCCTTACCCTTTGCCTAAGATCTTCCCAGATGCCTCAAACCTAATTCCAATTCACCCTTCATGCCTGAGCTTAAATGTAACTTCAAGAAAACTGTCCTTAAACCCCAACATCAAATAAGGTCTCCCTGCTATAAGCGCTCACAGTACCCTGTATTTCTTTATGGCACCAACTCATAACTGTAATTATTTTTGAAACTATGTATTAATGAATGTCTTGTCCACTAGACTGTTAGCTCCACTCTATTCCAGGGCCTAACACAATACCTAGAATAGAGCGGACACACAGTATCTGTTGAACAAATGAATATGAAACCACAGGTTCCAGTTTTTCAGACATATCCAAATATCAAATATTTATTTAATATCCAACAATTTGGGATTTGGCAAACAGAATCATAATACATATAACTATCCGATCATAAT